GATCTCTGATCTACAGAATGGATCTAGAAAAAAGTCAACAGGAAGTGTATTTACACTTCATTTAAGCAGGTAGATAAGATGGTTTACCAATGCAATAAGTACTTTTACTCTTAAAAAGAGATAATCAGATAATATCCACTTGAAATAAGATAATGTAATTATTCTTTCATGTTTTAAAGGTAAATTGACAGGTTCCATTGGCAAAGTGTCTCACTTAACTCTAGTTTTTCCAGTTTTGTTAATATTGACGTTTTTTTTTGTTAACCTGCAATGCCCCATACCTGTCTATGTCTCTGAAAGGGGGGTCCCCTGTACAGGGGAACAGAAGACCCAGCAAGGAATCTTCTGGCAAACATTAGCCAGGCCAACAATTCCCTCTAACGACCCCCGTTTCAGAGACATAGACAGGTATGGGGCATTGCAGGTTAACAAAGAAGCCAAACGACCCCCATTCCAAAGGGGGGGACCCGTTCATCCGTTTCTATTTGCATGTTTTCTAAACTAAAACCAGGCTTTGTTGGGCTGCTGGATAAAACCTGGAACTCAACGCTATTTCTGACATTTGAATTGAAGTTTCCTGGATGGAAGAGAAACGTCTTCAAACTTGGAAACAAAGTCCAGTGGATTGATTTTAACTTTTTTGGAATGACTCTGACCTGGATGACTGAGAATCATCACCAGCTCCTGCACATGTTGGTAATGAAAGACATTAAGAGAATGAATAGATTAAAGAAATCAAAAACATGTTTTTGTAGTTTTTTAGTTCACATCAGTCAGTGTATGCTGTGTAAGGTGCTACCCAAACAAAGTGAAGCATAAAATCAAAGCCGCTCTCAGCACGGCTCGCTGTACTGAAGAACATGACAGAAGCACAAATGCTTTCATGAGTTTATTTCAGCGTTATCAAAAGTCTTATTCATCAGTGCACAAACCTGAATCCATTGTTAGAAAATATCTGTACATACAAACTTTTTTCTGATTAAAAAAGGAAATTGTTAGGCACATCTTTAAAAATACAAAAGAAATGTGGAAATCTTAACTGCAAAATCGGTTAGTGAGCTTTGCTCTGTGCAAAGTACAAAACGATACCAATACAAAAATATATATTAATGTTAGAAACTGGTCCCTTCATGTGAAAAAGGCATTTCAATCATGCAGTCAGTCTAAAAACTCCTGAGCTATAAAAGGAATATCAATAATACTCATGCTGCAGTATCATTTTAAATTTATATACATTGCCTCAAATAAACAGTGTGTAAATATCTGAAAAAATGCTAAAAAATCACAGATTAAAGCAATGAAATGTGTTTAAAGGCACACAGCGGACTTTGTGACATAAATAGATGATGAATATGAGTTATTTTAAATGATTCCTTAGGCCGATATACACCTTCACGCTTCACCCTATCGATGATACAGGAAGCAGCCATTCAAAATGGCTCTTCCCAGTCAAACGGCAGCCGAATAGCAGCGCACTTCCTGCCACTGCAGTGACCCCCTCTTACATTCTTTTACTCTGACTCCACCCTTTCACTGAATTACAGGGTCTGACCAGGAGATGGTGCTTCCCTTAAGATCTTAATGCCCAAAAATCATGGCAGAATATTTTAGTACAAATATTGATGCTTAATAAGGAATTGTATGGGACCAGTCAAGAACCAGCCAAGGACCAGCCAAGGGCCAGCAAAGGACCTCCCAAGAACCAACCAAGGGCCAAAAAAGGACCTCCCAAGAGCTAGCCAAGGACCAGCCGAGAACGAGTCAAGGACCAGCAAAGGACCAGCCAAGGGCCAGCCAAGGACCAGCCAAGGACCAGCCAAGAACCAGCCAAGGACCAGCCAAGAACCAGCCAAGGACCAGCCAAGGACCAGCCAAGGACCAGCCAAGAACCAGCCGAGGACCAGCCAAGAACCAGCCAAGGACCAGCCGAGAACCAGCCGAGAACCAGCCAAGAACCAGCCGAGGATCAGCCAAGAACCAGCCGAGGACCAGCCAAGAACCAGCCAAGGACCAGCCGAGAACCAGCCAAGAACCAGCCAAGGACCAGCCAAGAACCAGCAAAGGACCAGCCAAGGACCAGCCAAGGACCAGCCAAGGACCAGCCAAGAACCAGCCGAGGACCAGCCAAGAACCAGCCAAGGACCAGCCGAGAACCAGCCGAGAACCAGCCAAGAACCAGCCGAGGATCAGCCAAGAACCAGCCGAGGACCAGCCAAGAACCAGCCAAGGACCAGCCGAGAACCAGCCAAGAACCAGCCAAGGACCAGCCAAGAACCAGCCAAGGTTTCTGGACTCCAGAAACCTGTGGCGGGGCATCAAGACCATCACGGACTACAAGCCCCCACCGCAGACCTGTGACAACTCCCCCTCCCTGCTGAACCAGCTGAACGACTTCTTCGCTCGCTTTGAGGTAGACAACAGCACCCCAGCACGAAGGATCCCTCCGCACCCCGGCGACCAGGTGCTGTCACTTTCTTCGGACTGCGTGAGGAGAACCCTCAGGAGGATCAATGCCAGGAAAGCCCCCGGTCCCGACGGGATTCCTGGTCGCGTCCTCAGAGACTGTGCTGCAGAGCTCACGGATGTCTTCACTGACATCTTTAACATCTCGCTGAGACAAGCTGTCGTCCCGACGTGCCTCAAAGCCACCACCATCATCCCGGTACCGAAAAAGTCGCCCCCCACCTGCCACAACGACTATCGCCCTGTCGCACTCACCCCCATCATCATGAAGTGCTTCGAGCGGCTAGTCATGCAACACATCAAGTCTGCCCTCCCCCCCAATCTGGACCCCTACCAGTTTGCATATCGGTCTAACCGCTCGACCGATGACGCCATCTCCACCGCCCTCCACTCAGCCCTCACCCACCTGGAGACCAGGGACTCACATGTCAGAATGCTGTTTATCGATTTCAGCTCCGCATTCAATACCATCGTCCCCCAGCAGCTCATCGGCAAACTGGTCCAGCTGGGACTCAACACCTCCCTCTGCAACTGGCTGCTGGACTTCCTGACGGGGAGACCACAGGCTGTCCGGGTCGGCAGCAACACCTCCAGCACCATCACACTGAACACGGGGGCCCCCCACGGATGTGTGCTGAGCCCCCTCCTCTTCACTCTGCTGACCCACGACTGCACTCCAACATTCAGCTCCAACATCTTCATCAAATTCGCAGACGACACAACTGTGGTGGGTCTCATCAACAACAACAATGAGACAAACTACAGGAGTGAGGTGAGCCGCCTGGCCACGTGGTGCCAGGAAAACCATCTCCATCTGAACGTAGAGAAGACAAAGGAGATTGTGGTGGACTTCAGGAGAAGGCCTGCCCAGCACGCTCCCCTGATCATCAACGGTGCTGAGGTGGAGCAGGTGAGCAGCACCAAGTTCCTGGGTGTCCACATCTCTCAAGACCTGTCCTGGGACACCAACACCGCGTCCCTGGGAAAGAAAGCCCAACAGAGACTCTACTTCCTGCGGAAACTGAGGAGAGCAAGAGCCCCGTCCCCCATCCTGCACTCCTTCTACAAGGGCACCATCGAGAGCATCTTGACCAGCAGCATCACCGTGTGGTACGGAGCCTGCACTGCAGCCTGCCGCAAGACACTGCAGCGCACCATGAAAGCAGCTGGGAAGATCCTCGGTGTCCCCCTCCCCTCTCTATTGGACATTTATCACTCCCGCCTCACCGGCAGAGCCACCAGGATCGCAGGTGACCCCACCCACCCCGCCCACAATGTCTTCACCTTGCTGCCGTCCGGGAGGAGGCTGCAGAGTCTCCGGGCCAGAACCAGTAGGCTCAGAGACAGCTTCTTCCATCAGGCAGTGAGGATGCTCAATTCCCTCCCTGCCCTGCCCCCCTTTGCCCCCCCCTGACCCCCCAATATCCCCATCCTCTACTATTTTCCACTACTCTCCCCAGGACTGCTACTCTATGCACTATTTGCACCATTCACACTACTGTTTACATATTTAATATTTTAATATTTATTTTATATCTTAGGTTTTTATTTTCGTGCTATGGCTCATTTAACATATATATATTTTTATATTTTATTATGCACCGTGGGGTTGAGGGGATGGAAATTTCATCTGTGTTGTATGTTACATGTAGCACATTTGACAATAAAGTTGAGTTGAGTTGAGTTATTTACCTACTCAAATTAAGGGTAAATATACTTAATTTAGGAAATCTTAACTTATTTCTTGATCGTTTTTCCAGCACCTGAAAGTTACAGGTCTAGCGCACTTGTGTCCAAAAGTTACACAGTGTGCCTTTAAATCTGGGTTAATACTAAAGCTTTAACAAAAAAATGAAGCCTTATAAGTGCAAGAAGATCATATTCTGCTGATTTTATGTTGATCTGCTATAAAAGAAAATTGCTCAGGAAGCTTTATCTGTTAAACAATAAGATGGTTCTTCTCCTAGAGGTCCTACTCCATCGACCCTGATCCATTACCTGCACTACTTTTCTAAATTTTACTCAATAAAATACCAACTTCTGCTTGAAAAAAATTTAAACTTGTTTTCTAAAATACTGTGTTTTTATTTCAGATCAAATTAGACTAAACGAGTTTACCGTCTCTAGCAGACTGTCGGCCATTGTTTCAAAGCAAAATAAGCAGACGACCTCAGTTCTATTAAAAATACAGTTTTAGTCTCTAAAACACAATTACCCCATTTACACCAGCCTTTAGAAAGGTGCAAAGATCGGTCCGAGCTTGGTAACCGAGATAACTGTTACGTGTGAATGGAACGCAACTGAACTGGACTGAACTGAAGCGCGCTAACATGGTACTAAGTTCTGAGCAGGGCTCGCCGCGGTTCATCTGTGGCTCGGTTCTCTGATAACAAAGAGCGCATGAGCCATTTTTTTGGCCGGTTTTCTGCCGTGTTCAACTTTGTGATTCACAGATCTCTGCACCTGTTCACAACACCAACTTCTTCTCATCCTGTTAATGGCATCAGAAGACCACGGTGTGACCTGGGACCACCCAGAAGGATGCCTTCTTCGCCTGAAATTCCGCAAATGAGGAAATATCACTAATATAACATAACTTCCTGAATATTACGTGAGCCAACATGTTTGTTAGCATAATTCTTTGAGATCTGTAGTATCGTGGACCGCCGATAGGAGGCGAGGAACCGTGCTAGCGGGATGCATAAATGGTCGTAAGAACCAAGCTAAGCATGTTAACTGATTCGAGCTCGGTCCGAACTTGGCATGGATCGGTTTCAGAGGGCTGGTGGAAACGGGGCAAACGTCACCATCTGAAAGGTAGGTCTGTTCTGTACCTGGGTGGGTTTATATCAAATGACTGAAGAATGACTGTCCAAGCAGGCGATTCCCAGTTGACTAGGTCAGACTGGTTTTACCAGCTCATCCTTTTCTCCTTGGCCACTTTCAGTTTCTTGACCTCTCTGAGGACGCGGTCAGCGTTCTGGAGCTTCTCCAAGGCTTTAGCCAGCAGGTCCTCAGGCATGACCTCCACGTGGCTCTCCTGAGCCTGATTCAGGAGCTCATTGGTCTTCTTCATCTGCAGCGCCACCTCGGTCTCAAGCTCTGTGACATAATCTTTTGAGGCTGCTAAACGCCCGTCTTCAGCTTTGCTGCTGTTTTTCTGCTGATTGCAGTCCAGGGATTCGGACAGCAGATCTCCAATCGATGCAGACTTGGCCTTGTTAGAAGGTTTGAGGGGTTTCTGTAAAGGCTCTGAGCGCCGGCTGGGATGAAAGTTTGCTCTAAGCTGAAGCTTGGCCGGCTGTCTTAAGTTAACAGAGGTTTGACCTTTATCTTCGGCTGCGGTGAGCTCATCTAGGCCACCGTGGCTCTCCAGGGTTGCAGATATGGAAGCTTCCGGCGTATCCTCACCAGCAGAGCCCTCACTCCCATCATCTGAGTGCTGACCGCTGTCTACAGATTTCTCTTCTGTCTTCTTCTCCTTTCCTCCAAGCGAGTGGCAGAGCAGAGGACTCAGGCTGAGGGTCTCAGTGAAGGGCTCATTTAGGTCGACATTCATTTGGGGAGAACTCTGCAGTAATTGAGGGGAAGTTGCTGAATCATCAGAAGCTGTAGAGTCTGAGCCATCATAAGGCTGAGCACACAGCTCCTCTCTCTCTGCCTCTTCTGGTTTTTCTGCCTCATTATCACTAGTCTTTCTAATGTCACACTCATAATCCTCTCCCTTGATTGTGCGCTCGGGTTCACCTTCGCCGGCACTGTCTCCCAGCTGGTCTACCTCTTTGTTGTCCACGGCTGGTCTTGGCTGTTCAACCTCACCGTCTCCTTCCATCTTCCTTTCACCATCTGCACCCTGTGTCGGCTGGCAGGGCTTCTTGTCCTTGGATGGAGGTGTAGGGGGGTGGGGAGTTGGGGAGGTTTCTGTAATGTTAACCAATGAGCCCGCTGAGCTGGGTTTGATGGGAGGCGTTGGTGGTGTGCCTTTCTTAGCGTAAGTGTCTTCATCATTTGAAATTTCTTCCTCTGGTGTGACGCAGGGTTTGGACTGTTTCGATGGCGGCATCGGGGGTTTCGGGGCCTTTTAAAAAGGAAACATGTTTTTATAGACCATCTAATTCAAGCAGAGGCATTCTGATAGATGGCATTTCTTTGGGGAAAAGATATACAAACCTCTGTTTCTTCTTGTTTATCAGGCTCATTCTTGGGTAAAAGACTGGATTTAGCCTCCTTGCTAGGAGGCATGGGAGGCTTGATGACCTTCTTCTCCTCTGCAACCGACACTGATTGTTTCTCGCCATCACTGGCAGCTGGATATGCCGTCGTTTCAGAGGTACCATCGGTCTGAGCATTATTTGTCCCATTCGGCATCACTGCATCCTCAAGATCAAGATCCAAACGCAGGATACCATCAGAGGACACATCAGCTACCTAAGAAAGGGAAAGCAAATAATGGGAAAAGATACACACAACAAATTATATGATGAATAGAATTAATGAAACAGCTCTGGTGAAAGTCACTAATGATATTCTCATGGCCTCAGATAATGGACTTGTATCTGTGCTCGTCCTGTTGGATCTCAGTGCTGCATTTGATCCAGTTGATCATAATATTCTTTTAGAAAGACTTGAAGATTTTGTTGGAATTAAAGGAACAGCACTAGACTGGTTTAAATCTGATCAATCTGATCAATTTCAGTTTGTTCATGTTAATGATAGATCTTCAACATGCTCAAAGGTTACCTGTGGAGTACCACAGGGATCAGTGCTAGGACCAATTCTCTTTACTATATACATCCTCCCAATCGGTAGAATTATTAGACAGCATGGGATTAATTTCCACTGTTATGCTGATGATACCCAGCTATATCTGTCTATAATCCAGATGAAGCTAACCCATTACATAGATTACAGGCATGTCTGAAGACATATAAACCTGGATGACTCTTAACTTTCTGCTTCTGAATGCAGACAAAACAGAAGTTATAGTCTTTGGACCAGTCTTTGAAAAAGAAGCTGATTAGTCAGTCACTTCATTTGGATGGGATTAAACTGATTTCAGATAATAAAGTAAAAAATCTTGGTGTTGTTTTTGATCAGGACCTGTCATTTAAATCCCAATATACATCAATGGGAAATGTGACGTCATTTGTACTAGTAAGAATTCCTTTTCAGATATCTGAAATGTTTATTTTGACTAGGAAGAAATGTATTTGGGACATCTGGATTACTTATTCCGTCAAGCTAATAAATGTTAAAATGGCCTGCCATAGATGGTAGTGTAATGTTCTTTGGTCAAGTCTCCTGACTTTAAAAAGTGCTATATAAGTACAGGCCATTTACCATTTAAAACTTATGGAGATGAAGTGTTGTGAAATTGAGCCATGGACATAAAATGAATTAGATAATATTTACAGAGTGAAATTTTGGGAAGGAAAGATCATATTTAGGAGACTGAGGGACACGTCAATCATTTCAGGAGCACAAAGTTTCTCGGGACCTTTTATTCTTCTAAGTTTCCAAACATGTAAGAGAAGAGCAGCTATATAACTGATCATTTCTTAGTATGTTTTATGACACAAACTGCTCTTATGTTCTCAACCCTTTCTGTTTGTCATGGTTCTACATAATCCTGGAGAACAAACACCAATATTGTCAGAAGAACTGTCCGTCTTTGCAGTGGGACCAGCGATCCTTACCTCTCTCATGTGGATTCTGGTTGGCGGGCGTCGGTTACGATTTCCCTGAGGTCTCGTTCGGGTAATATGTTCTAAATTACTGCTGTCGTCAACCTTCACCTATGGGAAATGTGTCAGAATTAAAGCTTTTACAGACAAGAAAAAGAAATAAAAGAGACAACATATTTTTTGGGAATGAACTGGTTTAAGTAGCCGGGCATTCAATGGGATGAGCAGGGCACGGCGGAGCCATAAAGGCGTGATGCTAAGGGTCGGTTTGGGCATAGGAGCAGATGCAGAGACAGACATGTTAGCAGAGAGCGTTACCTCATCAAAGACTTTGTTTTTTGCCCGACTGATGCAATCGCTGAGGGCTTTGATCCAGGCCTCCTTCTCCTCCGCAGTCTGAGCCTGGAGCTTCACATCATGGATCTGGAAAACAGACCTCAGCTGTTTCTCAGTTAGCACACATTAGCCCACCGCCGTGTAAGGATCACAGTGTTGCTGCTTTCAGCCTCACAGCTGAGCGCCGTTACCCTGGAGAGAGCTGCTGGCACCCAGACCCTTCAGGACCAGCCTGGCCTTCAGGGTTCACTCATCTTTGGAGGTGCATCGGGGGTGCAGCTCCTTACAGACATCAGTATATCACTGATAAGCCTTGAATTAGCACAAGCTAATCCCAGTTTATAGAACAGCAACACTGTGAGTCTCCACGGGGTCATTTTTTCACTTTTAAGCCGCGATCACACCGACTGCGTCCGACTTTTTAATCTCTTATCCGATTTTTTTCCATGTCACACTGACTGCGTATAGAGAGAATCTGACTAGACAGGATGAGCAGATCTGTGCAGAATTATTTCACTCTGTCTCTGTGCTATAAATAAAAAAAAATAATGTCCATGTTTGACTTGGACACATTATGGAAAGTTCTTAAAAATAAAAATCACTGGCTCATTCTATAAAGCAAAGCTCTACCTATCTGTCTGTGCAGCATTTACACAGGATAACTTTGCAGTGTTAAAGTAACACTTTAAGAGTGCATTTGGTCTCACTCGGAATTAGTGTTAAATTAGAAATTTACACAGTGTATATTTTACTCCAGTTGTTGTTGCAGTAACTCTAAAAGAGTCAATGTACTTTGACACTGCATATTTAACACTGTTATTAACTGTGTAGAACCAGAACAGATAGATAATGTTCATCTATTAAAAACATAATGAGATCTACGTCTAAAGAAAGATAAACGCAGCACTAAACAGCGTGGGGCGGTTTCTATGGTGACTGAGGCAAAGAGGTGTTTCCCAGAGAGATCTGGGAAGTTTATCAGAGTTTTTCTTTCTTTGTTCCATAAAGAGGTGAGAGAGATACGCTGCGCTGACCTGCTCTGTCTGCTCCTCTTTATTCTGGTTTCTGTGAGGCTCAAAGAGGATCACTGCTTTATCCGTTTGCTGTCCTCCTGAACTCCTATCATGGGGAAAGTTTTCTATTTTATTCTTTAATGTCTTTCCCCTTCAGATTATCACATTTTATTTTGGATTTTCCTCCAAAGCGGATGTGTTTTACTTTGTAACCGCGTCTCTCTTCCTGCCAGACCCATGAAATCAATCTGAGCTACGCTGCTCCCTGCTGGAAATCATCCCCATTGACTTTCAATCAGCGCTAAACGTCACGACGTCTGAGGCACGATTTTCTGTCGGATCGGACGCAAAATTGCGTGTTTAAATGACACCTGAGGAGATGTAGTAGTTATAACAGAAATGTTTAAAATGGTCTAAATCCTCCAGATGTCCAGCATGCAGGTGTTTAGCAGTAAATGTCTGTAAACTTTAAGATCATCAGACTTTCTCTTTTCTTAGAGAGGAAACCTTTATGACAAAAGATTAGACAACTGCAACCCAAAAAAAACAACAACAACCAACCTGCAGTTAAACCAACATTTTCTTTTTCACCTTAAATAAATGTTTAATGTCTAGAGTCATAAATGTTTAGGGGTCATTTATTTATTCAGTGTGATTAATAAATAAATGAAGGTATTTCTCTGCTCCAACCTTATTTCCAGACTTTGGGGATCGGATCAGAACCAGCCTATGCTTTTTATTGAAGGGACTCTTTAATTCATGGCACTTGTCATAGCTTTCCAGGTCCAGTCTCTCCAGGCAGTTCTGCAGGTCCTGGAAGACAGAGAACCTTCTCAGCATGAGGAAGGCAGCAGACGGGATTCCAAGAAGAGGCTGAGGCGTACCTCGTTCTCATACACCACCATCTCCGTCTTCTCCACCTGGACGTAGCGGTCCTTGTAGCTCGCCAGCAGTCGGCCGTGAGATTTCTTCACCCAGCCAGCCTTGCTCAGGAACTTTGGCTTTTTTGGCTGGGCAGGCTCCTCTTTCGTTGCCTGTAGTCAAACAGAGGAAGGAAGTCACACTTCAACACATCTGACATTAAGCAAAATGCAAATGCAATAAACGTAGAGATGGAGCTGCACACTATTCCTGTCCGGGGCGGTTGCTTTATGTTTAGCAAACCTTTCAAAATGCTCTGAGTGTTTCTCTGGGGGAGTTTTATGATCACAGGGTGCGGGTCTCTGACATCCCTTAGCGGCTCATCAGGGCCTCCTCAGACCAACACACAGAAACTGTTCTTCAGATGGTTGGAAAGTGGCCAACAGAGAAATCATTGAGAGGAAACACCTAACGCCTGATGGAAGAGTCACAGCTGGATGATAGTTGACTCTTCAGCAATCCCTCACACTAAGCATGCTTGTAGCGAAAGTGGAGAGGAAAAACTCCCTTTGAACAGGAAGAAACCTCCAGCAGTACCAGGCTCAGTGTGAGCAGCCATCTGCTGAGGCCGACTGGGGTTCAAGGAGACAGAAGCAGACATAGAAAAAGAAGCATAGATACAAAAGGCAACTGTCAACCAGCTCCACAGGCGGCCCCGTCCAGGAAACACACAGCCAGGCAGACGAGCTCCGAGCCAGCTCCCATGTCAGAGGACGAAGCAGCTCCGTCATTCTGCAGGAAGACGCCTGTTTGTTTTGAACAATACTCTATATGTTCCAAAAAAGTTAAAAATCAATCCACTGGACTTTGTTTCCAAGTTTGAAGATGTTTCTCTTCCCATCCAGAAAGCTTTTTCAATTTAAAATGTCAGAAATAGCGTTGAAATTGAGGCTTTATAGAGTGGTCCAAAAAAAAAAAAAGCCTTGTTTTTGTTTAGAAAACACGCAAATAGAAACGGATGAACGGGTCCCCCCCTTTGGAATGGGGGTGGTTTGGCTTCTTTGTTAGCCTGCAATGCCCCATAGCTTGTTGGACTGCTGTATAAAACCTGGAACTAATTGCTATTTCTAACATTTTGAATTGAAAAAGCTTCCTGGATGGAAGAGAAAAGTCTTCAAACTTAGAAACAAAGTCCAGTGGATTGATTTTTGTAACTTTTTTGGAATGACTCTGACCTGGATGACTGAGAATCTTCACCAGCAACACTCTATATGAAATGGTCAAAACCCAATAAAAAAGTACTAAGGCTCTGAAATGTGTTTGTAAAGCAAATATGTCTGGCTAACGAAGTTCTAGTGACAATAATACACAGGGCTGAGAAAAGAGGCTGCATGGTGGGTTGCATTTTGTATTTATATTATTAGCTACGCTTCTTCTAAAAGCATCCATCAGGGTTCATTCAAACCAAACAGACAGATTAATAATGGAGCAAACACAGCTGGCAGGTGAACAGAAACCAACCCCATGTGTTGGATGTCCTCTAATGCAGCGTTCAGACCGCTAGCAGCAGAGGCAGCAGAAGCAGCTGCTTTCCATGCCAAGTCCTGTTCTCTGAGGTGTCCTGTTCTCTGAGACGACCTGTTATCTGAGGCGACCTGTTCTCTGAGGTGTCCTGTTCTCTGAGACGACCTGTTATCGGAGGCGACCTGTTCTCTGAGGTGACCTGTTCTCTGAGGCGACCTGTTCTCTGAGGCGACCTGTTCTCTGAGGTGATCTTTTCTCTGAGGCTAGCTGTTCTCTGAGGTGATCTTTTCTCTGAGGCGATGTGTTCTCTGAGGCGACCTGTTCTCTGAGGCGACCTGTTCTCTGAGGCGACCTATTCTCTGAGGTGACCTGTTCTCTGAGGCGACCTGTTCTCTGAGGCGACCTGTTCTCTGAGGTGATCTGTTCTCTGAGGTGACCTGTTCTCTGAGGTGACCTGTTCTCTGAGGAGACCTGTTCTCTATGGTAACCTGTTCTCTGAGGTGACCTGTTCTCTGTGGTGACCTGTTCTCTGAGGCGACCTGTTCTCTGAGGTGATCTGTTCTCTGTGGTGACCTGTTCTCTGAGGCGACCTGTTCTCTGAGGTGATCTGTTCTCTGAGGTGACCTGTTCTCTGAGGCGACCTATTCTCTGAGGTGACCTGTTCTCTGTGGTGACCTGTTCTCTGAGGCGACCTGTTCTCTGAGGTGATCTGTTCTCTGAGGTGATCTTTTCTCTGAGGCTAGCTGTTCTCTGAGGTGATCTTTTCTCTGAGGCGATCTGTTCTCTGAGGCGACCTGTTCTCTGAGGCGACCTGTTCTCTGAGGCGACCTGTTCTCTGAGGTGATCTGTTCTCTGAGGTGACCTGTTCTCTGAGGTGAACTGTTCTCTGAGGTGACCTGTTCTTTGAGGCGACCTATTCTCTGAGGCGACCTGTGCTCTGAGGTAACCTGTTCTCTGCGGTGACCTGTTCTCTGAGGTGATCTGTTCTCTGAGGTGACCTGTTCTCTGAGGTAAGCTGTTCTCTGAGGTGACCTGTTCTCTGAGGTGATCTGTTCTCTGAGGTGACCTGTTCTCTGAGGTGACCTGTTCTCTGAGGCGACCTATTCTCTGAGGAGACCTGTTCTCTATGGTAACCTGTTCTCTGAGGTGACCTGTTCTCTGTGGTGACCTGTTCTCTGAGGCGACCTATTCTCTGAGGTGACCTATTCTCTGAGGTGACCTGTTCTCTGTGGTGACCTGTTCTCTGAGGTGACCTGTTCTCTGAGGTGACCTGTTCTCTTAGGCTGTTCTCTGAGGCGACCTGTTCTCTGAGGTGACCTGTTCTCTGAGGTGACCTGTTCTCTATGGTGACCTGTTCACTGAGGTGACCTGTTCTCTTAGGCTGTTCTCTGAGGTGACCTGTTCTCTTAGGCTGTTCTCTGAGGTGACCTCTTCTCTGCAGTGACCTTCCTTCCCTCCTTGCTTTACCTTTTTAGCTAAACTTAACTCACCGAGTCTTAAAAAGGATAAAAGTCTCATTCAGTTTCTGGGTCGTTAAGGTGAAATAAAAACAGTTCAGCTAGCTTGGCCGCATTGCATGCTGGGTAATGATGGCGGATGGCCAACTGAAAGTACAGGTCTGATGGCCAGCCACATGTCTGACTCAATAACCAAAGGACTATTTACATTCATTGAATTTTTTTCAATAGATAATATTCAAGAAATATACCCAGCGAGCCGTCTGCTGAAGGGTTACAAGACTCTAGAGAAGTTACATTTCCTCATTCAAGAGAACCTTGATTTGGTATTTCCAAATTTGACAGAAGCCTTTAAAGTATTTTTAACCCTGCCTCTGACAGTTGCACCTGCAGAGAGATCATTTAGCTGAAGCTCATCAAAACACACCTTCGTTCAAATATGAGCAACGATAGCTTGTTCCAGTTGCATTGACCTCTATTGAAAACAGTGCGGCACGGTCTACTTTATTTGATGCTATGATTGACAAATGGGCAAGTGCAAATTCATGGAATGCAACAGAAATGTCAAAAATGTTCAAACTCTGAAAATGGAGTTCAGGCCATTAAGATTTTATATTTCCGCCACAGAAAATGTTGAGCCACTACTATAAACTTCTTATTTGGTTATGATCAGGGGCGCCGTGTTGGCATCCGCCTCAGAAATACGTGGTTGCGGCCCTGTTGGAGCCAAACAGGAAGAAAGAACAGAGCAGGGGCACCGTAGACGCCGGCTGGTCTCCGTCAGGCACAGACCGGTTCAGTTAGACCCAATCAGAGGCTGCAGCGCTTTGCAGACTTTCTGGCTTTGGTTCTCCTGAAGGAACTTTTTTATTTTGCTTCGGCATCAGGTGGAAGGTCCCGTTCAAATGTTTCCCCTCTCTGACCTCAGGAAAAAGCAGCACAGCTGCTTGACAACAGGAACGTCCCAGAGATAACGTTCAGATCATCAAGGAAAGAAATGACACTGCAGGAAAAACAGCTGTGAAAATGCTTAGTAAGCCTCCCACAGAAACGCTGGTGATTCACAGCCGAAAGGCAGCAAGCGCTCCCAAAGAGACAGCAGGCCGGCGCAGGCTGGCTGCCGTTCTTCTTCACAGGGAGATCAGACATCACTTTCTGGGGCTCTATTTCTGGACAAACAGGAAGTCCACCCTGCTGTTGAACGTTAACCAAAACCAGACCTACAGCCACCCACAGATGTTCCTCTGTGGTAAAATAACTGACTACAGAACCAGCGGTGAATAGAAAGCAAACTCATCGCGGCCTTTACAGAGAAGAACGAGTCGAGTTTAACAGACTAACTCGGCAGACACGAGTTTCTGATGAGAGTCCAGGTCAGCGATGCTATACTGATGACACTGCTCTGCTCACAGAAGCCTGTCCACATCTGGCTTCAGGTGGAGAATAAAACCATCCACATCTCATTTCACGTTATGAGTAAAAAACATCAAATTTTTGCTTCAGTCAGAGTAAACACTATAGAGGTGGTTGGTGGAATTGTTTTCTCCATTGTTTCATCCACCTGAGCAGCAGAACTACTTCCAGCAGTTCCTGGGAAGACTGACTAGAGCTGCACCACCATGCAGAGCAGAGGTCTGCTTTCTGTCTAACTGAACAGAGACATTCTAAACCTTATTATCAGCATCAACTTCCCTTTTCATAGAGATGCTAAACTTCCTGATCAGATTCCCTTCCCTGGTTACTGGTTTACTCAGAGCCGAAGGTTCAGCAGAAAGCTCCCATTCCTGGATCTGAGACCGACAAGTGGATCTGACTCAGAACTCAGTCCAGGAAGTAACTAGCTCCTTGATTTCTGCTCAGTTCTGTTTGATATAGAAATCACCATAGCAACGCTTCCTTTAATTAGCAGCGGGGGTGTTTGATGAAGAGATATAGCTGTAAACTCAAAGCAAACACCCTAACCGCATCAGGTGGTTGATGCTGAGAAAGCGGGGTTAGGGTTTGTCATAGATCAGTGGCTCAGAGAGGAAATCTATTTCTGTAACTCTGTGACACCCATGAAGAGCAGCAGTCCATCTGGGTTACGCTCTGGGCTCTCCTGCTCCTTCCCAGGCAGGTTCTGGTTCTGCTCCATTCATCTCTTCAAAATGTGTAAAGATGTGAGGATAGTTTTACATGTTAACAGCTAGAGT